CATGAACTTAAAACACACAAGCTGTTCCTGGTTACCTGCTGGCATATTGAGGGTGCACACTTAATATTTCAGTGGGGTTAGCCGTGTGTGTGTGTGTGGGGTGTGTGTGTGTGTGTGTGTGTGTGTGTGGGGGGTGTGGGTGTGTACATGTTTATGCTATGGGGACTTGTCATCTTCAGTCTGGCTGCGTCTTTGCTAGGTTCAAACCCAGTTTGGTGTAATTGAATAAGTCAATGAATCTGTGTAAAAGAATTAAGTTGTAAAAATTATTTGTTTTTGTACATCAATTGTTTGTGGAGGTAATATATGGACAAAACTGATTAATGAGAAGAAATCAGAAATAAGAGAGCCTGAGGGTAGGGGCTTAAACTATTTAATGAGGGCTGTGGGAAGAAAAGCGGCAATTTTTGTTTTCTGTTTCTTTGTTACATTGCTGGTAACTGGAGGGAGGCTGAGGCCCAGAGGATCTTGTACATGTTTAGTTTCTTTTGCACCCTGTTTTGAGTTTTTGAGCACAATAAATCACCAACACCGGTAACCCGACTGAGCCTGGATTCTTGGAGGCCAAAGAACCCCGTCACAGTGACCCAAATCATCACTGTTACTGTTATTATATAGTAAATTAAATCATTACTGTTAAATTGTATGTATTGTCCAATTGTTTATTTGAATTCTTATTCCGGATTAGTTGGAGACATACACTAGGCTATATCAGCCCCACCAAAAATATGTTTCACCAGCCGCCACTGGTGTAACCCATACTTGGGAACCTTAGCAGCTTGAGGGATTTAATATATTTGAACTGATTTTTTTTTTTATATTTGAGTTGCAACTCATATAAACCGAGGAAAGCACTGGAAAAACTTTAATAAACATCCTGTTTTGTGTAAGAAACAAAAAAAGAATAACCTAAGGATTATCATAAAGATCCACTTAGCTGTTATACAGTCCCAGCTACCAGAAGCTGTGCTCCTCTCTGATGGGTGGATTCCAGCGTCTTTAACCAAAGTGAGTTATTTACAGAGACACGCGCTCAAGGTCCAATAAAAACAGTGATTATTTTCCATGAGAACTATTTTGCCTATTGCCTTTTTTGGTAAAGCAAGACATCTCTTTTCGCATAATTTCTAACTTCAGGTAAGCTTCTCCTGTCTTTGTTTTCCACCTAATAAACCAGTTGAACTAATATAGTAAACACGATGCCTCTCCCAGTTTTTCATTCTTTAATTTAAATCCTTTTATAGTTTTCTCAGCTCTAAGCCATCCTTGTTGTTGAACCACAGATGTTATATAAGGTTTTTAACGCTGCAGTTTCCAACTACATTAGCATAGATCCAGGTAAGGGTAGATCCTTTTAGACTAGATTGAATCAGGAGCTTCAGACTGTGGCATCGCAGTGGGTGGAGTGCTGAAAACTCTGCGCTGATCCACCTTTCTATGGAAATGGATGAATTTTTCCTTGCTGTCTCTCAGCATGCGCTCGGTTCCAGTGACATACTCCACTGTTTACCCTGTCAAACCGAGTACCAGCAGTCATGTTCATCCTTGTTGAGCTGAAAGAGTTTGACGGAGGTTGTTTTTAGGGCAGTCCTGTGCAGGCGTTATGAAGATGCCCATATTCATACGAGCCAGACTGAGCTGCCATGACTCATTTCTGCAGGCAGTAACTGCTGTTACTTGTGATTTGCTCTAAAAGACTAACCCAGCCTACTCAAGCTTGCACCTTCTGTATTATAAAGCAGTGAAGGAAATGAGTCTGTTTATTCTCTCTGGAGACAAAGTTTGATGTTTGTTTTGACATTACACTGAGGTCTGGCTAATTGTGCTCGTTGGTGATGGATTTTAAAGGAGTGATTTAAGAGGGAGTGAAGAAGTGGAACAGCTTGCTTGTCCTCTTTGTTCTTTGGCAGCTTTTTGGCCTGATAATGCCTGATGATTTTTGTCTGTTGAATGATGTTTTTGTTCCTCCAATAGTAGTCATAGACTTTAAGAATTTTCATATTTTTTTCACTTTATGACCTCAAACCTTAACCATCTTAATTGTACAGCATAGCAGTCCATGCATAAATGTGAGATGGCAAAAAAAATGTTAATTTGCAAATAAAATTCTTAGAATATAGAATTTAAATGTTTTTCCACTTCCCTGAGTCAAAGCTGTGTTGAAGCATCCTTCTCTCCAGTAACATCCCTTGACATGTTAAGGTTTGTCTTTAGCAGCTTTGCTCATCTGATAACCAGCTCATCTATAGACCAGTATCGGGTATAGCATGCTAAAAAAGCACCTAAACGAACTCATTCATCTTGTTTATTTTGCATATTTTCTAAGCCAAAACAAGGCTTTGTTTCTGGTCCACTCTATAAGGCCTCTTACTTAACGATATTTCTGACGTTTTCAATTGAAAAGGCTACCTGGGTGAGAAGTTAGACGTCTTCAAACATGGAAACATCCAGTGGATGTTTTTTTTTTTTTTTTTTTTTTTTTACTTTTTTGGAAAGACTATGAGCTGGATGACTGAGGATCTTCACCAGCATACATCATCTGATGATAGAAATGTTGTCCCATTCTGTTCTGCTGAGTAGCTCTAGTTCACTCCAGTTGGATTGGGAGCATGTGCAAAGTTCTACCACAGAGTCTTAAATGAACTGAAGTCTTGATTTAAAATAGACCATTCTAACATCTGAACTAGCTGTGATCCTGCTGTCCAGCTGTGATGTTTTCTCCAACTCTGCTGATACGAATGAGCTCAGTACTTTCTCAGCATGCTATCACGTTCTGCAGAAGCCCTGCTAATGAGGCATTGATTTGATTCAGCTGCAGAGAAATGGCTGAAACCGGTCCTTAAGGATTGACTTTGAGCACTCCTGAGCTAAACCATTAGAGCATTACTGTAGCTCTGGCTGTCTGTTTTTTTGTTTTTTTTTCCTGGTTCCATCTCTGCATCTAGTGTTCTGCAGCCTCTAACAGGTTTTTTCTTTAGTGTTGCCCTATTTTAGCACCCAGCCTTCTATCAAATCCTGTGAAAGGAAAGAATCTCCACAGCATAATACTAACACCACCACCATTATTTCTGAGGTGGTGTTTAGTGTTGTTTTTTTTACACCGGTAGCATGAAGACCTGGCTAAAGTATTTTGCAGCTTTTAGTTTACTTCAAGGTGTTTGACGAACATTAGATGCATTTTTTTCCTCAAGGAAGAAAACGAAACAGCTATCTTCTTTGAAGACTGGATTAGACTTAGTCATTGGTATACACAAGTGTAAACAAAAAGAAATTTTATTTAGATCTGCTCTCTAGACGATTTCATTTTTTAATGTGCAGCCTTAATAAGGTAAGCAGCAGCAGTTGTTATTGAGCTGCTACTACTGCCTCCAGCTCCTGAAGCACTCGCTTCTCCTGGCTCAGGGGAGGAAGATGCTGTGAGGGTGGTAGCCCCCTGGGTTGAAGAGGCTGACATGGCTGAAGCAGCAGTGTTGCCATCAGCTGGTTTAGCAGCGACAGACGATGCTGGAGAAGGTGTGGAAGCCGAAGGGAGCCGGGCGGAGCTGGCTGGGGATGTTTCATCATTTGAAAGAGAAGCATCTAGAGCACTTTCCTCATTTTCACCTGCAGAGGGCTCTGCTTCCCCTCTAGATGCCGAAGATTGCCTGGAAAAAGTCTCAGAGGAGCCTCCATTCACGCAGAGACCCCGTCAGAATGATGGCGCAGCAGTTCCAGTCGGAAATTAACCATATTTTTTCCAACAAGCGGACGTTTACGGATCTCTCTCTTTAGCTTTGCAATTAGCCCCCCTCTGCAGCCTCCATTTCTCCATCTCGTGCTTCTCTTCCTTCGTCCGTTATTTTCCGCTGTTGTTTTGTTGACATCCATCCATAGCCCTCCGCAGCTTTTTAAAACGGTCAAAAATGTCAGTATTTAAATCATTTTGTGACCGTAGCTCCAGCAGGCGTTGGTGATCATAGATGTGATGTATCGTTTTAAGTGGCATATTTTGTGAAATTGTCTAGAGGAGCTGCTCTTGGCCGCTGCCTTGGAGCGCCACCGTGGTAAGTAGCAACTGATTGCTCTCCTAAGTCCTGCCACCAGAGCTGTGGACCTCAGCAGCTCCTCCAGTTACCATGGACCCCTTTGCTGCTTTGATTAATGCTCTCCTAAGTCAGTCGGCTAGTTTAGTGGGGCAGCCACACCTTGGTTGGATTGCAGTAGGGGCATATTCTGGAGTGACCAGTTATTCAAAGCTTGGTCCATTGTTTTAAGACCTACCGCTTCTTCAACCTCCATATTCCCCCCCATCTGCTGTTCAGTACTAAAGTGAGAGCTAGCAGTTAAAATTAGCTGCTTGGTGTTTTTTCTCCAAACGAATCAGTATAAAGTTGGATTATAGGTAAAATACAGTGAGGCTTAGGGGTTGTAACGTGACAAAATACAGTATTTTTGCAAAAAACTGCATCGATTCAGGCAACTTTCTTTTGACACATGCATCAAATGATGCTAGTAAGTAGGAAAAGGTCATTGTAACTTAGATGCATATGAGGATATTTTCTGTTTGCAGCCATGAAAACCTTAGAACTGCTTCAGCTTGTGCAAAGTGTCTCCCCCCCCCCCCATGCTTAAAGGTGTCAGTGTGTGTGGTACCCAGCAATGTAATGTCATGTAATGCTGACTCAGACTGACAGCTGCTGCCTGTTACTGAAGAGAGGCCGCGGTGTGAGGAGGGAGAGGGACGACCGGTGTGTGGGAGAGTGTGAGGAGGGTAGATTTAAATAGAATAATACTGTTGGGCTTTTAATTTCCCATCATGCCACACTTTTTTTTTTCTTAATCTTAAACCATGCTATTTCAATCTTGACACAAGAGGGTGTATTCAAATGTTCCCTGATGAAGGTTTCCTTTGTAATAAAAGCTTTGTGTGGAAACGTTGCTTCTATTATTAGGAAATATCCGCATGAAATGTTTTAGTGTTTTATTTTAAGCTGACAGTGGTGTTATTTTGTGGTTTTCAGGCCCAGATCGCCTTCCTGCAGGGGGAGAGGAAAGGCCAGGAGAACTTAAAGAAGGACCTCGTCCGGAGGATTAAAATGCTGGAGTACGCGCTGAAGCAAGAAAGGTGAGCGCCTCGGGTCGTCCAAGAACCATCGAGTATCTGAGCTGGTCTGCTTCAGCTGCGGTGTTTAAATAACTTGCTGTCTCAAATAAATCTGTAAGGGGATGCCAGGTCGTTGGTCAACGAATCAGCTTCCCTGTTACAGAACTCTTAACACCTGAGACCATAACTTTTAGTCCATCCTTACTAGAGTAAGGATATATTTCTGACTTAAGGTATTTCCTTTCCTGTTCCTTCCTGCTTTGTGTAGCTGCTATTTCCTCATTGGGCAGCTACAACTTTTAATTAAAATTGCTCATTAAACAATCACTTTTTTTTTGTTTCTATTCAATAAATGGGACTAAGCAGAGTTTTCCTTCTTTTTAAATTTTAATAACAACCCAACCGTTTTTTAATTTAGTTTAATTAAAATTGAATTACCGAGTAGGCAAAAAGAAAAACCTGGAATGAAACATGATTAGAGGTCAGATTTCTGAAAGGGTTTCACTTATCCATCGGCCTGGTATCAAGTTAGCTAACAATAATCCACTAATGTTAATTCACCTTTAGCAGGTTAAATATTTAGCATTTTAATAAATGCATTAATGTGAAAAAAACAACACTTTTTGAATTGGTTAACTTGTGTACAAAAAAAGGTATTTGATGCTCATTAGAAAAAACAATCCACTGGACTATGTTTTCCAAGTTGAAGACATTTCGCTTCCCATCCAACTTTAATTTAAAAAATTGTGATTATTTTTTATTTTATTTAAAAAGCTTCCTGGATGGGAGGCGAAATGTCTTCAACTTGGAAAACATAGTCCAGTGGATTGTTTTTTTTTAACTTTTTTGGACTGACTATGAACTGGATGACTGAGAATCTCCACCAGCACATGTTTTAAGTTAGATTTTTAGTTAAATCAAGTTGCCTGCATGAGTATATGCATCAATAGCTAAACAACAGATATCCTATTTATACTACGCCAAACAGCATTGGCTTTAAACGTCATCTCTGACTGTCCGTTCCTTTGCTTTCCTTTTTCCCCTACAGCAGATTTATTCCGCCTTAAAAGCAAAACAGATTTGTCGGAGCTTTCTTTAAGGCTGAAACAATTAATCAAATTAATTGATTATTGAATTAATCTTCAAGTAATTTATTAATCAATTGTTAACTATATATAAACATTTCCATTTAAGATAAAAAAAAATAGTAATAAAATTGTCAATTTTCTCTATCCAGAACATTTTGCATTTAATTTTTCTTCTGTCATTATGCTCAATCCAGAGCTAGTGATAGTGGAAAAGTTACACCTTGTTTATTTTCATAATCTGATTATTAATTGATGAAATAAAAAAATAATCAACAGATTAATTGATTTTCAAAATAATTGTTAGGTACAGGCCTAGCCTTCTTCATCCAGCTGGCAGGCAGTGTGCAGAAACAATTTTTTTTCTGAATAACTAAAAAATATTGTAAGTGGCATTACAGCAAATAATTCATATCCTGGTATTTTACATTTATAAATCTGAAATTATTGCCTTTTTTTCACTGCTCAGATAACCTCCAAATCCTTAAGGTTAGAAGGCCTCTGTGCAATCACCCTTATCTTTAGCTCTTTCCATATACCCCACTAGCCTTGAAAAACTGATCCATGCCGAGACTGGTCCGAGCTCAGATCAGTTAAACAGGCCGAGCTCGGTTCTGACAAGCGTTTACACATCACGCTATCTCGGTTCCTCGACTCCTCGCCTCCTAGTGATGATCTGCGGTATTGCTGCCAGTATTGAAGGCGGAAATCAAGCAGTTGGTGGCGGTAATGCACCAAAAGTTGTTTGCCAACCGCCATAAAACCCAAGAAGAAGGAGGGAATCAAGCAAATCAAAATGGCCGTGCCCGTCACATTCAGAAAGTTATGCTTGATAATTATTGCAGTACTTCGGTGTTATTATTTAAAATGTCATTATTTAAAATGTTGCGTGTAGAAGATTTCGATTGTTGTTTATAGTTGAGTATAGAAGTTGTTCTTCTTCTTCTGTTTCCGGAGGGGCATTACCGCCACCTACTGGAATGGAGTGTGAATCGCGATGTGCAGCCAGACGGAGATGACGCGTTCTGCTCATGCGCTCTTGTTATCAGAGAACCGAGCCAGGTAAAAAACCGAGCCGAGCCCACCTCTGGAACTGGTCTGCAGTTATCTCGGTTCGGTTGTGTCTATCTCGGTTCAGTTCAGTTTGCTTTCCATTTACACACGATAAGTTATCTCGGTTACTGAGCTGGGACCGGTCTCGGCACGGTTTTCCAAGGGTAGTGTAAATGGCGTAAGAGATACTAAGATTGAGGCTGAATCTCCCCCAGGAGTGTGACCTATTTTGGGTTCAACTATACCTGGTTGTTTGTTCATTTATTATGTTTTACAGACACGGTGAAGTGCAGGTTCTACAAGCTGATTTATTTACAAAGTTACAGAACAACCAGTCAGAATGATCTCCGACACACCCGACAGAAAGTCAACAACCAAAATGAGACATGAAAGCTTTTGGGGAGAGCTTCCCCAGATGATCCACGTGTCAGGCAGCAGCTGACTTCATGTTCAGCTCCTCAGTTGTTATTATTTACATAATTCAGGCTGAGTTCATTCGTCACGCCTTTTCTTGTGAATAGGTGTGAACTAAGGCCGGGTTTTTCTTCTCAGGACAGCCACTCCCTGGCTGATCAGCCCCACAGGATGTTCTCAACTTGTTTGTGGTTGATGTTAAAGGACTGATCCTGTAAATGACATCCATCGGGAGGAATTCTGCGAATGCAGACTGTTCTGACGCAGGCCCTAGTCAGTTGTGTAAGATAAGGCAGAGTCGTACTCCACACTAGGAGTAGGGAGTAAATCACACTCCTTGCTTCGGGTGTTTTTCAGGAACTTGCAGCAGGGAGATTAAGTGAATAAAAGCCTTAACACAGCTGTGTCAGCGCAGTTTTAAAATGGCTTTTTCGTGCCTCGTCATCCCCCTCCCCTCCAGCTCCAGCATTAGTTAATGTTGCTCCGTGAGGAACATCGTCATGGGTTGTTCATCCTCTGACTGTTAACAGCCTATTTTTATCTACTTTGCCTCAGTGAGATCACTGCAGGCCATCCCTCAAGAGGAACCCTTAACCCAGAAATACTACCATGTCTCCTGGTTGCTAGGGAACAGGTCACATCTCTGAGGGTGTCTTGAAAGCAATTTCAGAGATGTGGTGTCTCTGATTGTGCCCTGTTTGAAATGAATTTCATTTTAATGGGGTCACCTCCTCTAGTGCTGGACGGAGGGCAGCTAAGCTGAAATTTTGTTTCCTCTTTATTGTCTGCCGACCTCAGCTGGGGAAACGTTACACATCCTGATGATAATATGATATAGTTTAGTTTGTCAAGCTGCATCATAGTCACGGGAATTATATTAGAAAATATGTTTGGTACAGTAATTCACCCATTTAAAATATATTGGATGTCAAAATGCTTAAAATCAACATTTTGGGATTTTTTAACTTGTTTTAAGAAAAATAATTATGCAGTAGGGCTGGGTATTTTCGCCAAAGTCCTGAATCGATTCGATTTTGATTCATGCAGTTCTAAATCGATCCATTTCGCTTTGATCTGTTTTTACAACAATGATGGGGGTTTAACTGTGTTTCAAAACACTCATGTATTTTATTTTTTCCTGTCATATTAAACACAAAGTGCAAACTTGTAAATCAGTTTAAACTTGAGATGTGAACAAAACTGTCTCAAAAGTGCAAACTTGTTTGTGAAAAGGGAAAAAGTGAAGCCCCTATTTGTTAATGTCTTCAGTCAACCTATCGGCTATATTTGCAGCTGTCTGGCTTTCTTGCTCATTTGAATATGAACATCACTCGCGTCACTATAAAACTAATCGATCTCATTCCCTACACATGGATTTTGCAAAAATGTAAAGGAATCGATTCCAAATCCATTAAATCGTTTTTTTTTACCCAGCCCTATTATTCAGTATGTGTTTTATGTAACAAAATTGAATGTAGATGAATGTTTGTATGTTACAGATTTGTATTACCTGTCCCTCTGTTTAAAAGTTCTGACAATCCGTCTCTTAATTCATCAATTTCCTTCTAACTTTTCCACCCTTTTGAGATGGAGATTTATCTTTGACACCTTGGAAAACAAACACCCACACATAAAAATATATGAGCATATTTACTATATATAGACAAAAGTTTTTCATCTAAAATTAAATCTTAAATTTGACTGTATGATCTGGTTTAATTGTAAAGGGCCTTGTGATGACATTGGCGCTATATAAATAAACTGAATTGAATAAAATGCTAAAGGTAAAGATATTTTTGTACAAAATTGGGATTGTTCTTTCAGCCACTTGGATATTTTACTCTGTATAACCAGTTAACAATTATTTGATGACTAAGTTAACTGCAGATTATTTTAATAATCAGTTTATCAGAATTAATAAAAAATTTTTTTGTATGCCTTTATCACACACGCATAATAAATCACAGTTAAAGCATTTCAACTTTTCATTTTTGTATATTCATCTGGAAAATTTTATAAAAAAAAAAAAATTAAAAAAACATTTCAACTTGATAATCCATCCATGCATTTAGTTTTTGAAAACGTTATACTGATTTCCTGATCTTTAAAAGCTGCAGTAAATTTTTGATGGACCTTTTTATATGTCTGTAAACTGTTAATGTAAAAAAAGGTGTTAAAATTCTGGATTATTTATCATATTTTCTTAGAGATTATGTGCGTTTTTGGCTTTCTTTAAACATAACCATAACATTTATGACCTCATTTTTGTAGAAGTTAAAACGAAATCACTTAAATGATTTTAACACCGTCCTCTTAAATTATATAATTTAAAAGATTTATTTTATTAAGATGCTTTAGTCTAATAAGAATAAATCCTCTTCCAACCCAGAGACGTTCTGTGTGGGATGAGGTTATGCAGACATCATTTGTAAAAAGTTTTAAGTGTCCTTTGAGGTGGTTTCCTATTTTTGGCTTTTTTTTAAACTTCTATTTGTTCCTTTTTTTCTTCTTTTTTTTCTTTCAGGGCAAAATACCACAAGTTGAAATACGGGACAGAGCTAAATCAGGGCGACATGAAACCTCCAAGCTACGGCTCTGGTAAGTTCTGCCAAAGTTTCCCTCACCTCTAAATCCCTGTGGTTGCTGAGCTCACACATACCTCAGATGACAGCACTGGGACACAAGTAGAAGGCTGCATTCATGTTGGTTCTTGTTCCTCTCTGCTCGTTGCTTCACAGCGTCCCTAACCTTGGAATTATGAAAGAGCAATTGTTGCAGATGCAGGAGACATCACGACAGATTGCAAAAGATTTGCTCACTTAAATTGAACAGTTGTTTCTTATTGCAGGTGTTTTGAATAGAAATCAGCACATCTCAAGTAAAACAATAAGACTTTATGGCTACATAAGAAAGAGGAAAAACTTTGCAGGTTTTATAGTTATCGAATAGCGAATGGTTAGGGCGATTTTAGGACACATTCTAAACAAAAACAGGCTGTTTATAACTTTGGTTGGATCAGTGGTGGCTATAAGTCTAACAGCCGATGGGAGGAAGGATCAGCGATGACGCTGTTTGGTGCATTCAGGATGCCACTGAAGGAGCTCTGCAGCAGCCTTTTAAGTAGTTACTGTTGTATTGTTTTCCTCACTTTAAAGTGGAAACTGTTTATGTATTGTTCAGAATTATGTAAAAGCAAAATCTAAAACAGTCTAGTTGATATATGTGTTTGTTATTCTTTAATCCACTGAGCTGTCTGCAATTTTCTTATGTTTATGAGAAGGAAGAGAAAAATAGCCTCAGTACAAGTGTTGCTTTGATGATTATTTCGAGTTTTGGTATATTTTTAGATCACAAAATAATTTAAGGTTCACTATAATTTAGGGAAACAGTGAGGTAAATGTCTATTTGATTATAAACACACGTTAAGAGTGAGCCGTATATATTTAGTTGCTTAACAATGAGGATGCTATCCGCACATCAGCTGCTTCCTATTATTTCATCTTCCTAATGTTGAAGTGCTCTGCAGTCATCGAAGTCGGAAAGTGATTTTTACTCTTCCCTCATCTCTATTCATGAGGACCGTTCAAAGCACAGCACCCTTGAAGTGTTGATGATTTGGAGAAGGTGAAGAGGGAGAGGTGTTAGATGAAAGGGGTGAAGACGGAGAGGGTGAGGGGAGCTGGGAGGCGTTACTGGTTTGATGGCAACCCATCACCCCTCTGTTCATTCTCATCCAGTTTTTGGGGCATCTTCATCTCGTCTCTGCCACACCCTCTCCTTTGACACTCATCTGCTCTGTGCTGCCTTGCTGCATTTACATCCATATAATATGAACCCTTTATATCATTACAAATATCAGAAATTAACTTTATTGGGATTTAATGTGACAAAACAACAAAATTGTGCATTTTGACAGATAAAGGATTTGATCCATAAAGGTGTAGAAACAAAACCAAAGCCATTGGACTTTATTTTGTTCTATTAAAGATGTTTTGTTCTTTAAGTTTAGAGCTACTAGAGAAGCTCCAAGCTTTAAGCTGTTGGAAAATCTACAGATGAGAATTAAAAGTCCACCTGTTTTGATTTAGTTAATTTTTGTGTGTGTGTGTGTGTGTGTGTGTGTGTATTCCACCCAGTTTTATCTATCGCTTAAAGGAAATCCAAATCGCCTTCAAAAAGAGACCTTATCTGCTTGTAATTACATTTTTTTTTTTTATAAAAATTGCTTTTCTTTGAAGCTATAAGGTCTGTTGGAGAACAGTAATGGACAAAAGGGCTTCATGATGATGAAGAAACACACAATAAGTTAGAGATAAGGTGTAAAAGAATCAAGAAATCTGGAAAAAAGGGTCCAGTTTGTGGCTAACCTGACTCGCCCCTTCCCAAAATTACTTCAACCGAAGGCGAAAATACTGGTTAGCTGATTGGCCTATGTTGGTGATAGACGGGCCAAATAAACCAATCAGATCAACGAAGCATATGACGTACTAACAGCCAGGCTACTCTTGCCGAAACCAGTCGGGAGAAGAGCAAAAACATCTTTTCCTCTGTAATTCCGATAAAACTTGCTCGATAGCCACGCTAACGCTAGTTTCATCGGCGGAAGCCGCCATGTTCTTTAGACTGAAAGGTCGCGCTTCTCGTTGCGTCACACCTCAACCCGCCTCAAAGCCAACGCTGATTGGACGTTCGTTTGGTGAACGGCTCCAAATTTTCTTAAACGGAGAGTCTCCAGACTGATTAGCGAGTGAAATCTTGAAAGCTTGCGACATCAGGATGGTCTCACGAGGCTAGTTTGTGGCTACACATGTGAGCAACCCACCAAATGTTTTAAAGTGGATCCTATAGTTAGATTAGATCTAATTGGTCTCGATGCAAAAATAAAAAAAATTCAGTTGGCTGTTAGCTGTTCCTCAGAGAAAAAGGCAGAGTAAAACCTGTTGCACACGGATTAAGACCTGGGCGGAGGTTTGCCATCCACCAGGACGATGACTCTAAGCAGAAAATCAGACATACGATACTATAGTTTAGCATCAGGGTGTCTTAATATAAAAGCACAACTCACCTTTTAGATTATGTTTAACAAAAAAAAGAAGAAGATAATGCATAAACCCAAATAAATCTATTAAAATGTTTGGTTTAAAATGACAAAATCTGGAAAAGTTAAAGTGGTATAAAAGCTTTGGCAGGGCTGTTCAACTCGTATTAACACCTTTGGACTGATGAGCAGTGTTGACATTTTGTTTTATAAAAACTGACATCAAATAAAATATTATTATTTATTTATTTATTTATTTTTAACAATATCAAAGCTTGTGTTGTTTCCTTGGTGATGCTGACATTTCCTGTTTTTCTAGTGTTTCATGGTACACAGGTGGAGCACAGATCATACATATACGTCAAAATCACATCAGATGACTTGTTTAGGTTTTAAGTGTTTGGCCTTGTGTCTCTAAAAGCTTCATTTGTATGCCGACAGTTTTAATGTTTGGATAAATGTGTGCAAACTGAAGGGAAATTACATTTCAAAGTTTAAAGCCCCGTTTTTTTTACAGTCCAGAGAGAAAACGTTTCCTGTTCAATGCGACTTGACATTTTGTTTTAGTGAGTCCATGAAAGAATGAGCGTCAGTGATGCAGGAATGTTCTTGTTGTGTTTGCGCAGCGGAAATAATGTCAGACGCTTTGCCGTTTCATGGAGCTCTGATTTGTGTCCTCCTTCTCTCCTTCAGACGAGGCCAACGAGAACGACTCCTCTGGATCCCTCAACAATCAGCTGTCTTGGAAACATGGCCGACAGCTCCTCAGGCAGTGAGTGCAGAAAGAGCTTTGAATTGATCCTGAACACAGAAATAAACCAAATTAAATCTGCCATGATTGTATTTTTCTGCGTGGCTGAGAAGTCACTCCTTTCAGTCAAGCAGGTTTTGTGAGATCATTGTCTGAGTACCGGTAGATTAAAAAAAATCTGTGGTGAAGAGCACCCTCTAATGGACAGCTGCAGTCATTACTACAGCAAGGTTTTCCTTCCACATTCCCTTTGGGTTCAGGAGGTGGTATATATTTTAGACTTTAAAGCCTGTAAGTTTTCCTAGCATGGCACCATTTCAGCCCCTCATCTGCTCTGACATGCAGTCAAATGAAAGGTGCCGTTTCCTTCCGCAGTCTGTGTTCAGCTACAGATCAATAACGCCCCTCCCTGTCCGTTAGTCGCCCTCTTGGATTACAAGCGCTTCTTATTCCTCACTGTGCGGCTGGTGTAATATTTGATGAGCAGGTCGTTTTGCCTCAGCAGCACTGACTGCATTAATCGAACTCCTCAGGGATGACATGTTCTTCCACATCTCTTTCATAAACTCATGTCAGGAGATCATGATCAAGAGATAACATCTAAAAATTAGGTTTTATGATTAAGTGTAAGGTTGTTTTTTTTTAGATGTGGGAAAGTAGTAGTTGAGTAATGTATAAACACTTGAAATTATAAGAAGGATGGAAAATTACTTTTTTAATCAGATTAGTAAACATAAACTCTGTTTTCTGACTTATATTAAATGTTTCCAGGTGATTTTTCAGATTTGATTGGTTTTTTTATACATAGTACTTGTCAATTAATTATATTGGTACCCTGGTTAAGATGTATAAAAGTCTTTAAATTGTTGTTGCATTTTTACTTGTTGTGGGGGACCGAGCCAAAAAATCAGAGAAGCACAGGGAAGTCATTGATGAAAAAATGGTAACAAATTTATTTTGCAAAAATAAAGTTCAAAAGTTCAAACAAGACTGGGCCCATCAAGGAAAACAAATGACAAAAATCAGCATAATGCAAACCTGACACAGGAAAAGACCTACCTAACTGACACACAAGGGAAACATATATATACACTGGTTGAACAGACCATTTTGAAACAAGAGGGACACATAAAATACATTTTCCTAAACAAAACTACAACAAAAGAAAAAACTAATCAGCATCATACTAAATCAGCGACCTATGAGGAAGAGGACTTAAATATTAAACTTTCCAAATGTTATTATAGAAAACAAAACCAAATACAGAAACCTAAACCCTTTCTACACCCCTTCTAAATGTAAGTGGAAGAGTCCAACTAGGCCTCTATGTCAATGAGGAGATCCTTTGCACCTGGGGCCTCCTTTCCTTTACTGGCTTCACTCATGACAGCCTCCCAGAAACTGGCAACTCAAATAAAAACTATATTAATGTACAGAAAACCAAACAAGCAAGAAATGGCAAAATGGGTCAACTAAATTTGTACACCCAAATAGTTAACCAATGCCAAATCAAAGTAGAAAAACATGGAATACAGTACAGTAAAATAGAAGATTTAATGAAAGAATTACCAGACCATTTGTGTGGTTGCACATGCAGCCATCACACTTGTCCAAAGTAAAAATATTAGAAGAAATTTAATTTGTACATCAGTAGTGATTTAGTTGGATGGTTCAGAGTTATTATTCAGAGACTTAAATGTTGTACTTTGACAAGGTTCCCAAAATTATATTAAATTATATTAAAATAATAATCCCACAGCATCACCATTCCTCCACCTTGCATACCAAAAGACCTGAAGGGCTTCTTCATTTTGTTATCTTTAATTTTGAACCAGAAACTTTTAATATTTTAGTTGGAGATATCAGAACAGAGAGATTTGCCTCCCTAACATCCGTCTCACGCTTTGTGATGAGATGCTGTAAATCTGGGTCGTCATGGCAGAATATAAAGCAACATTAAACTCTGTCACATTACGTAAACATTGTGGCTGCAGATGCAGAGATGGGGTCTATTTATTTATGTTTTTTTTATTCTGAAAGGTGTATTCTGCTACTCTGTTTTCAAAAAAGATTCCTATTAAACTCATTTTTATATGGTTGCAGGTACCTGCAGGAGGTTGGCTACACTGACACCATCTTGGATGTTAAGTCACAGAGAGTCCGAGCGCTCCTGGGACTTGCCGGGGACGGAGCCGGGAAGACCGGCGAACGGATGAACACGGAGCCCTCAGTGAACGGGCCCAACTCGACACCAAAGGGCATGGGGACCAGGGGGTGAGTTTACTCCAGATAAGAAGGGAGAATCATTTATGAGGATATTCAGACAGCAAAATGAGTTTCAAATGTTTATCTAGAGCTATATATCTATAGATCTAAACAGCGGTGGTAAAACCAGAGCGGGACCCTTGCCTCCAGCTGCAAACAGATGTTTGGTCCTTGCTGCTAAACTGCTGCCGTCACAAGCATCAAGCAAACATTTTTTTTATTTCAGATAGTTTCTGCTTTATGACGTTTTCCCGGCTGCAGAAATTCAATCTTGTTTCACTACTCAGTTTAGAGCAGATCTTTCTAATAAACATCATACTACATTTCACCTTTTTCCTTTTAGTTTCTTTTTACCTGATTAAACAATAAAACAGACTTTGGAAAGTGAAAATCCCATCCATCTATATTCTCTCGCTTATTGCATCAGAGTCGTGGTGGGGCCGGTGATCACCACTCTGGCAGAGCAAAAGAAAATTGTAGTCCTTAAAAACTATCATAACGGTTTTTAAGATAAAAAAAAATGACAGAAAGCTTCTTTATTATTTTTAGCTTAGCTCTAAAATTACCTCTAAATATAAATATCAGGTTTTTGTTGGTGTAACGAGTTGCTAACTCCACTACTGTGCTGATTAACTTCAAATTGTCTGTGCAGAAAAGTGGAGCTCTCCGATACGAACGCTGTGCTGGAGGCCTTCAAATTCATCGAGAACGCAGCTGCAGAGTTCAGCGACGAAGACGAGGAGGAGGATAACGATGGGAAAGACCGGACTAATGTGGAGTCCAGGACTGTAAGGAACCAGTCCACTTTTACCTGTAGAACCTGTTTGGTTTAAGATCTTCATGCAGAGTCTGAAAAAAGATGAATTCTTCTTCAGATTGTGCGGAAGAAGCACTCTTCGTCGTCTTCATCGTCATCTCCGGCCAGTATGGACACCACCGAGGACCCGGACACAGAGGAAGCCCTGAAGGGCTTCGACTTCCTGTCAAATCCAGACGATATGGAGACAGAGTCCAGAGGGACCGGAGACGGCACAGACTGGGGTAACTAGGATTTAGACTCTGCTCACACAGCTAGAGCATCTAGTATGAGATCAGGACCGATGACTAATGATTCAGTGCAGAAATCTATAACCGTTTCTCCCTCAGTTTGATGCTTCATGGAGCCTTTCGTCATTCATTTATCACGCTGTGGTCATAAATCATGACATTAGGACTGTCTCTGTTTAACCAACAGTCTGTGTCCCACTGTGTGTTCCCATAGCCGCCCCGCTGTGTGTCTTCCACTGGTTTGTTGTCAGATAGATCTGATTAGCTGCAAATAACTCAAAGCCTTAGAAAAACGGCTTGCAAAAATATCCAGACCCATTTATATGATAAACACAAAGTAGTGGTTAACTATTGCTTTTTAGACATGTTTTTAGACATAATGCCAGCAGGAATGCGAACCTACGCGTACTGTCGGACCTACTGTGGAACAGTTTAGATCAAAGCAATGGCTTATGCTACGTTCAGACCGCAATCACTGGAAGCAGAAAAAAGGCTGCTGCTGCTTCAGTTTTGATGTTTGTTCACGTTAATGTCTGATGAGCATTAAGAACAGCTTTTACGCTCCTGAAGTGCGTCCAGTAAAGTGTGTCCAGATGCGCCTGATGCTTTTGCTGCTCCTCTGTTCAATGGCAGAGAGCAGCTATGCTATATTTGCTGTTCTAAGGGAGCAAAAAGTCGCTTTAATATGTTTTTAAGTGAGAAAGTCCACCTGAAAACTTAATCTGTGCAGTCAGTTCAATACGATTATGATCATGCCTTCAAATATTTCTCTATTGGCGCCATTCAGACCCCTGTACACCAGCGGTGCTCTGTCCCTTTAGATCCCCTGCAATGGCAAGCTCTGGCCCGGTCGCCTCTTTGCGGTTTTCCGCTAATATTCTCAGTGATCTGCATCAGCAGTGCTGTGTCTGTCTCCCTGCCAGCCCCTAAATCAGCTTCTCTGATTGGTCGATTCGGCACTTTGAGCAGCAAAAGTTACATTTTTTCCCAATTCCAACTTCTGCTGCTTTTTCAGCGTGTCCTGCGTGTCAGATGCTCAGAGTCTCGCGGCTCAGAACGCACTGCAGGACCTTTGCTGCGCATTGATGTGCATCAACCATTGACTTTGCCTGTAAACCGGCCGCTTCTGCTGCCTCTAGCGCATACAGTCTGAACATAGCATAAGTCCAGGGTTCCTCGGTTCTGGTCCTGGAGGTCCGCTGTCCCTATGCGTCTTTACTTCCCCACATCAGGTCTTTATCAGGACTCATGCTGAGGGGGTTCTTCAGCCATTTGATTCATGTGCGGAGGCAGAGACGCATCTAAAAGACGCAGGAAACTGAACTTCAAGGACTGTAATCTAAGAACCCCGGCCTAGTCGAAGCTCAGACAAGATTAGTTATCTGTGGAAGAACTTCAACTTTCCATCGGTGGTTCTACCGAGTCGGGGAGCTAAGATTACCTTTAACTCCTAGATAAGTTACAGACTAAATTGTTTTGATCTAATTCATAAAATTCTGATAAGTTTCATGTTTTTTTAGGGTTGGGACATAAAAAAATTCTGAAAGTTATTTTAGCGTCATCTCAAAAGTGGAAAAAATCTCTATAATGTATAAATTATTCAGAAGATGATGCTTTATTTAACAGTCTTGACAGTTGTCTTTTCGAATATAAGTGTGAGTAAAAAGATATGGGAGAAGTCTGTGAGTCCAGTTTTTTAACAATATTGGCATAAGGGCTAGTTTTAAATGTTTACTTTCATCACTTGATTAAAAGAAAAAAGAAAAACCTTCACCAGCTCACTAAATCTTGAGAGCAGTGGAGAGTTTAGCATTTCCTGCTCTGCTCTTTTGGAGGTCAGCCTCTCTTCGACCCACGCCGCTCCTCAACAGCCTCTCGGTCTGGTTTTTGTTCCCCCTGTGTAGAAAAGGACGAGCAGGGTCCCGTTTCTGAGGCCTGGGACGTGGACCCGGGCCTGATAACCAAACTCAAGGAGCAGTACAAAAAGGAGCGCAAGGGGAAAAAGGGGGTGAAGAGTAAGTGCTGCTAGACATTGCTGCCTCCTTCAGTCTCTTTTCTCTGCAGAGCCTGACTTTCCTGAGCTCAATCAAAAACGCCTCTGATAAAAAAAAAAAAAATCATCTCTATTTTTTTCCATCTCCTCCTCTAGCCGCTCCCTCCTTTGTTTCTCTCTATACTCCTTGTCCTCTACTTAGTGCTTGCAGATGCAAACTCTCCTCCCAAATGAAATATGTTGCTTGATGCATGTTTGTTCGTCGCATTTGTTTGTTTTTCCTTCCCCTGTATGTTCATGCCGTCATCTAGTAAATATCAGAGTCTAATGTGTCAGTTTGTGGCAATCAGGCGATCCATCTCCCATCTGGGCTTCCAGCCATCTTTGCACACATCCGTTTCTGTGTCTTTGTAGTCATAATAACATAATGATCACCATCAATATCGTCACCCATCTGCCACGTTGATACTCTAGTAGCAAATAATATAGCTGCTGATGTAGATTAATAGCTAATATGAGCTATTTTTCAGCCATTCAGAGAAGTGACTCTAATATTGCTCTCAGATTAAGTGCGCACTTTAGCCTCATTTATCAACTTGGAGCTCTTATGTTTCGCATTCATGCAAGCTATCCCTCAGTCCTTGATTGATCATGAGATCAACAACATCCTTCGACTCTCTTCGTTTCTCCTCATGACTCAACCACCCCCCCCTTTTTTAATGCTTTGATTTCTCCTCTTCTGATCTAGCAGAAATCTGGATTTTTTCTTTCATTCCTTTTGGTGCTTTATCACATGGGTGTTGATGTGGAGAGGCTTTTTAGAGCAAAATTAAGTTAGAATAACTAAACCAGCGACCGACGTCAGTCTTTTTTGAACACAAGCCTCCCTTTGACCAACCTGGGATGCATTCTCTCAGGCCTGTTAGAGCTTGTTGTTAGATTAGTCAAACTTTTAAGTGAGTCATCAAACCTAATATCAAGCTAACAGGCAGGTGTTTAAAGCTGGGATAGAAAAACTCTCTGAAGGAGTATAAACTCCATATATCTTTCTAGGCTTTTAATCAGATATTTAATTATTTTACACAATAAAATCTAATGTAAATGTGTTTTCTTTACTCCACATGAGGTTGAAATGACTTAAGGCGCAAATGTAGACATAAACTCCCTTTAATGTTTGGGTGTGTCTGTTTTAAAGCTTGAATGTATGTTTTCCAATTTGCTAACAACTAAATTAAAGTCATGCTTTAATATTTTTACAAACATTTCTCCAAATAATCTGAAGGGAAAACAATTGTATTGCCCGTTGTGTTATTTTAAAATTTAGAAACGACTGAAGTGTATTATTGTTAAAAGAACACCTGACTTTCACGGGGCCGTGCGTTTAAATTGGGTCTTATTTTGAAAAGCTCTCCACACGGTTTACTGTTAAAGATGGATGTACCTCAACATCTTTTCTGTCTTTCCAGGACTCTGCTGCTGGTCTGCTATCATCTTCTGTTTTTACTGGTTTTTGGTTCTTCCACTTTTTTCAGCATCGCTTTCTTCCCTTCTCATATTTTGCTTATACCCACTGCTTTCTGATTTAATTTTCTTTCTTTGTTTCTATTATTCTACCCACCCCCCCACCCAAACCTTATGGGTTGTATGAACTTCTAACCTCACCTGTTAACAGGGCCCAACCGGTCAAAGCTACAAGACATGTTGGCTAACCTGAGAGACGGGGAGGACCTGTCTCACACACAGCCTCCATCGACCCCGCAGTCCCGGCCCAATGCGGCCCGCTTCAATGAACACGAGGGAAACAGAACGGATGAAGGTGATTTAAAAAACAAAAAAAGAACAGATTTCCTTTCTTAGACAGTTATCCATGTTGTTACTAATGTTTTTTTCGTTTTTTTCTGCAGTTGAATCGCTCACTTTCCCTCCCTCACCAGGGAAGACGTTCATCATGGGGACAGAAGAGGGCATGGAGAACGTTCTGGGTCTGGGGGAGCTGGCGGGACTGACCGTGGCCAACGAGGCCGACAGCATGGCCTATGATGTGAGTGGGAAAAGTTGACTTTTTGCACAAAACTAATAAAACTACCTTGGAAAAAATTGCATTCTTTCTGGATGGCAAGATTATGTTTATCAGGACTTAGATTTAAAAACACTTTGAGAAAAGAGATGGAATGAATTTGGGTTCTAACCAAACATTTTTATCTTGCAAACATTTTGTGAAACTCCAGATTTATCTAACAGGCCTCTAAAATTAAATGAATCACATTAGGGGTGAAACAATTAATTGGATTAATCATGATTGATGGATTGAAATCATTGTCAACTAATTTAGTAATCAATTAACCATTAACTGGAGTTTAGACTCTAGAGGACACCTTTAGCTGAAAGGAAATCCCAGTTAAAGCAGTGGTTATACCAAAAATACAAAATATATATATATATATATATATATATATATATATAAACATTTTCCCCCATTGTTGGACAATAAAGGGATTTTCTATTCTATTCTATTTTGCATTTAAGATAAAAAAAAAAAAAAGATAAAAAAATCTTTGGTGAATAATGCTCTACCCAGAACTCCTCAGGTGGAAAAGTTTAAGTTTCATCTGGTTTGATTTCAGAAAAAGTTTTTTTAAAAAGAGTCTTTGGCTGTACAATTATTAATTGAGTAATCAAAAAAAAAAAAAAAAAATCGATAAATTAACCGATTTGCAAACGAATTATTAGTTGCAGCCCTAGATCACATGGTGACATGCTTAAGGTTATGTTTATATTGTTTTTAGGTTTTGAGTTTTATTCTATTGATTTTTTATGATCTTTGTTTCTTTTTTTCTATTTATTCTTTGTTTGATGTTTTGTTTTCAGATTGGCAACAATAAGGACGCCATGAGAAAAACATGGAACCCTAAATTCACCCTGCGGAGTCATTTTGACGGGATTCGTGCTCTGACCTTTCACCCTGTGGAGCCTGTCCTGATCACTGCCTCCGAGGACCACACGCTCAAGATGTGGAACCTCCAAAAGACTGCCCCTGCCAAAAAGTAGGACTCGTTATTCCCTCTCATCAGAAGGCTGTTTTAGCTTTTATCCCAAATTGAGCAAGAATATTCTGAAGAAAGAACTTTTTTTATGTCTTTGTCAGTGATTGTGCAGAATGACCTAACACAGCAGCAGCATAGAAATAGGAAAGACTAAGGGCCTGATCTGAAAAGAATCCAAATAGGAAGAGATAAAAATAGTTACACATGCAATAAGTAGAGGCATTGCACTTATTGCAGCAGAATTATGCTGGTTGTCCAATAGAGAAAAAAACAACTTTGCACACGCTGCTCGTTCACTGGCACACACAAATTGTTTTGCACCTTGTAAATCAGCTTTGTATGTGCAAATATTTTGATACATGCAAATATTTAAAATGTAAGGCCTTTGTATGTAATTATTATTATTCTAGCTATGTCTAGGACTCCCATTGTCCAAACACATCACAGACCGATCATAAAATGTGGCATAAATAATTATTTAATTTTAATTTCTACCTGCAATTATCTATACCAGTGTTAATATCACTTTTTGCACTAAGAAAACACTAATTAGTGTTTGTTTCTTTTTTGTATAACCAGAAATATGGCAAAATATTGAGCTGAAAAATGGGAGGATTTATATAAAAAGGAATATGATGTAATATTAATGATATGAAGCGGGGATACTCATTTTAGGAAAATATATATAGAATGCACAAATGGGTTAGAAATATAAATTAGAGAAATAATGATGTTATTGATAGATGTAATTAACTATTTGCCTTTCTTCTATTTCTTTATACATTTTAAAGCTTAAAAAAATGAACTATGAAGTAAATTATTTTATTTTATGCAGAATATAATTTCTCTTTGGAGTTAAGCTTTTGAATCTTTAGAAAATCCATTATTATTGATAAGATTTGGAATAAGGCTTTAACATAATGGGAGAAAAAATGCAGTGCTGTGAAATCTCTCTAGATTCACTGCATCTTTTCCTTGTGGAAACTAAATATGTGTAAAACTAACATGATTTCCATACAAAAGTATTCAGATTCATTATTTTATTACTTATGCTCCAATTGATGACACCAAAGTGTCTGGGTTTCCTTTATGTGTCAAAGAGCAACAGGCAGTCCTAACACCCATGTATCTTGACCGATAGTGATAAATAATCTATCCGTGTGAAACGTAATTTCACTTGGATTGTAGATTTTACTGACATTTGTTTATTAAATAATCATTTTCTCTACAGGAGTACATCTTTAGACGTGGAGCCCATCTACACTTTTAGAGCCCACAGGTAAAATGCACTTTTACACTTTTATCCAATAATTTTTTTTTTTCAATCCTTAAATAAATGATTAATGGTCATTTTATTGTCTTCCATTAAACAGAGGCGCTGTCCTGAGTGTGGTGATGAGCAGCACAGGAGAGCAGTGTTTCAGCGGAGGGGTCGACGGCACCATCCAGTGCTGGAACACGCCCAACCCAAACATCGATCCCTACGACTCCTACGGTAAACCTCAGCATGTGTTTTGATTCGAATCAGGAGGATTGAAAGCTGTGAAGCAGAAAAAGTGATTGTGGTCATGGTGTAATCTCTGTGACAGACCCATCAGTGCTGCGTGGGGAGCTGAGCGGACATACGGACTCTGTGTGGGGCTTGGTGTACAGCAGCGCACACCAGCGCCTCCTCTCCTGCTCTGCAGATGGGACGGTCAGACTGTGGGACGCCAACACCACCTCCCCTTCACTTGCAGTATTTAATGAAAACAAAAGTAACTAACTCATCTACATTTAGTAGTTTTACCGTTTTTACTGTTTTTATTTGAAATCAAATGTTTTTTTTTTTGTTTCTTTTATCTCCTAGAGTTGGGAGTTCCCTCCTCTGTAGACCTGGTGTGCAGTGAACCAGCTCATCTCGTCACATCCTTCACAAACGGCCAGATCGGCCTTTTCAACATGGAGACCCGGCAGCTGGTCCTCAGTATGGAATCTAATTTGGAGCCAGGTTCGTTCAGAATTGACACCATAAATAATACATTTTACTGCAAAAAAAAAAAAAAAAGCATCAGTGCACTCTAACCAATTAATCATTGATAACTTTTATTTTTTGCAAACACAGTCCTCTTCACCTCCCATTCGTATGTATCCCTGAAACATAGACTTAAATAGATCAGCATCTGAAATCAGCTCTACCTTTTGTCCAATCCACTTTATTTATATAGCACGATTTAAATAAACACAAGGTTTCCAAAGTGTTGCACAAAAAAGATTAAATAACTAAAATAAATAAAAGTAAATAAAATAAAATGTGTGTTTATCCATCTCACACAGACTCTGTCCTTTACTCACCTCCTCCACTGTTGGTGCTCTCACCATCTTTCGGTTAAATTTGATAATATAGCAAAAGTTATATACTTTAACCTGGTATTTTTAGAGGGAAAGAGGCTATAGCGTCTGATAGAGCCATTGCCAGTAGACAATGCAGGTGAAGTGTCTTGCCAAAAGACACAGCAACATTGAAAGCCGGAGCTTAAACCAACAACTCTTCGGATTTAGGGCAACTCCTGCATCCTGTGCCGTTTAGCACATATGCATTAACTTGATAATAATAAAAACCCTCAATTAATATAATGTTCAACAAAATGACAACGTTGACATCTTTCTTTACAAACTCAAGCTTTCGACTTTCCTGAGATTCATGATCTAACACCATATTTGCTTAATTATGGCTTCACATCTGTGGTACAGGGAGGCGACCAGCTTCCGGCAGCCCAGGAAAATCCTGCTACGATCCACCATTCCTTTCCATCTCTGGGTTTCGCCTCACAAACCGCATTTAAAAAAAAAAAATTTTTGTCAGCCCACAAGTTTTAAGTGTTCTTTTCCTCCCGAATACTAATGAAATACGTTGTGTTCCAAGACAGAATAACCTAATTTACAGCTTTGTGAACAGCATCTTAAAACACTGCAGTATTGTAGCTTGTATTAAGCTTTCCATTGTCTGTCTGTCACTTCATTGTTGTCTGTTATCAAAGGATTTACATGTTTAATGTTTTTTTTTTTTTTTTATCCAGGCACTCCCTGTCACATTAACAAGGTCCTCAGTCACCCGACTCTTCCGATCACCATCACGGCGCAGGAGGACAGACACATCAAGTTCTTTGACAATAACAGTGGGAAGCTGATCCACTCCATGGTGGCCCACCTGGATGCCGTCACCAGCTTAGCTGTGGATCCAAACGGACTCTATCTCATGTCAGGCAGTAAGTATCAAACGTCTCTTTTGAGTTCCTATTCTGTGACCTGACTGGTCGACTTAAACCCACTCCAACAATAGCTGACAGTATTTAGAAAATCTGAATCATTCCCAGCAATGATTATAAATTATATTTATCTACTGTAGAACCATCCTAATGGAATCTGCTAGTAAAGTGAAATTCTGCTAAACTATTTATTTAGCCTTAAATTTTGTTACAGCAGATTTATTCAGACGAGAAAATCTCTCACTTTCCAGTGAAATTCGCCATTTTTGATCCCAAATCGATCACCTCCGTGACTCATGTGGGTCTGATGTGGGGTGTTTGCTATCCTAGAAATCAACTTCTTTTTTTTTTTTTCATCATTTTGGCTCCAATGTCAAAACTTAACATCAAGGTTAATGACCCAACATCACCTTTCTCACCTTTTGTTCATGTATTTAAAAGGCAAAATAACCCAGCTTTAATATTAGCAATGCATTTTAAGGGTAAGCAGAGCACAAATTATTGAATAATGGCTATTACAACAAAATTATTGGCAGTCCTACTGATTTTTAAAAAGATCTAGATTCTATTTGGTCAGTTTTCTTGCTGATATTTTATTAAGAAATGCATGACTTCCTGTTATGATGGGGTATAGATTGAATGAATTCTACTGCCATTCACAGAGAAAGAAAATTAAAAATTATTACTTTGCATTTATCAACAAATTCCAATCAGCCTAAAATCCACATAAAACCTTTACATAAAAGGTCAAAGGGCAACTTGTAAAAATGAAGTAACTTTGCAGCTAAAGGAGAAGTGCAGACAGTTTCTCATAGCTATTAAAATCAGAGGTAACAGAGGGAATTAAATGAGGTGGATGTTTGTCTTGAGTCAGGAAATGTAAACAGAAACTTAGCTACTAACTTAGAACTGTAATTAAACGGAATAAATCTGAAACTTTCCAACCAGGCTAGACGAGGACCCAAGGCTCTCTAGTTACCATCCTCACTAAAAAGGAGATGGTAGCTGATTTATTTTTTTTACTATTAAACTATTTTTATTAGCTATTGAAGATTTGACTTTTTGAACATTTTAACAACATGATGGGAAATTGTTTTTTTTATATTTATTATTTTTTTAATTTATTTTTATTTTATTTTTATTTATTTTTATTCCTAACGCACCTTTTCCTCCTTGTTTGCACCTTCTTTAAGTACTATGCCAATATATGACCAGTGAATTTCTCCGCTGTGAGATCAATAAAGCTTATCTAATCTAATCTAATCTAATCTAATCTAATCTAATCTAATCTAATATATTAATGTTGAAAAAAAAAAACCCTGAATAGATAAAGTAAACCATTAGTTTTCTTTTTTTTCACATCTACTTACGTGTTTTTATAAACTTTTTATACCAAAATACAGCATTTCTTTTTAAAGGCAAAAGTCAATGTCTGGCCTTGTTTTGTCCACAGGTCACGACTGCTCCATCCGCCTGTGGAACCTGGAGAGTAAAACCTGCATCCAAGAATTCACGGCTCACAGAAAGAAGTTTGAGGAGTCGATCCACGACGTTGCGTTTCACCCGTCTAAATGCTACATCGCCAGCGCCGGGGCGGACGCTCTAGCCAAGGTGTTCGTATGACACGCAGAAACGCGTCCCCCCTCCCCCACAGCCACGCTCTGTGACCCAGCCTCCAGCGATCAGGGACCAATAGACACAAAGCAGGGGAAGGACCGTCAGGCAGGGGGTCCAGTCCCACCTCAAACTACCCGCTGGTCTCCTGTTGGATTCGCAGACCATGTAGCCAATAGCCTCAAATAGGTTGGAAGGAGGAGAAACTGCTCACTGGTCCCAACCATCTTCCCTGCTCACCATCCAGGCAGGCCTGGTTGTGACTGGCCACAGCGCCCCCTGCAGACAGACTCAAACTTCCCCTCCACAGAAAGGAGTGAGGCTCAGGACCGGTGGTGGCAGCGAGAAGCGGAGATGTGAGGTCCCATCACGCCCCCTCTTCCTTCTCCTCACGTGGCTCCATGCTCATCCCCGATCCTCCTCAGATAAACCAAGTTTTCCTCCAGGTCAAGTTTCGTGTTGCGTTTAAGAACCGCGGGGTGCCAAAGGCTCAACCGGAGCTGACGCAGAAGCCTCCCAGCTCCTCTCCTCAGCGTCCCACACTGACTCTGCTTGCTTGACCTGCCTTTATTTTCCTTTTTAAAAACCTATATTGACGAATGTGCCTTTGCTTTAAAAAGGTCTTTAAAAATGTTCTTTTAACACGCTTGTTTATTTGGGAAGGGGGGTTGAAAAAAAAATGGGAAGGGAGGGGGATGCTGGTTGTCACAATGTTGTCGGTTTTAACATTGGATGTAAAATTACAAATGCTTATAATAAACAAAAATATATATTCAGTCTTAAATTTACAGTGCAGCGTGAGTTTGAGTTTTTGGTAAGTGTGGTTGGGATGTCATTTCTGTGTGTATTGAGACAAAGCTGGTAGAGCGATAACGACCATTTAACACGTTGCCTGTTTTTAGTTTCAAGCAACTGAACACTTCAGATTACAAGCATAATGTGTCCAAAGTGAACCATCTTGGTTATATAATTAAAACTAAACAGACTGGATTCTAGATGTCGACCTTTAGGATTATCTAACACATTTTGGCCAGTTTGCTCTTGTTTGAACTGAATGCTGTGTACTGTATATATTTTTTTTTCTTCCCCCTCCTCTCAGCTGTGTGGACATGCTTGACCACAATGTGATGTATAATGTCCAGATATTTACAGTAGTCCAGTGTTTAGCAGGAAATTAGTGCAGTACTTTAGGACTATTTGAAACGATGATTTAACCAAGAGAAATGTCCTGCAGTTCCAGTTTACTGTAAATCTGTGAGATTTGAAAGAAAACAAAGATAAAAAAAAAAAAAAAGGCAAACGGGATGTTGTACGAGGAGAGTACAGCTTTACATGAGCCATTTTCTCAGTCACTGGTTTGTATATGAGAGTATGTTCGAAATAAAACCTGCTGTAAAATGTTATTGTCATGTCATTTTTAATGCTTTTTTCATATAAAGGATAAAACCTGAGAACAAGTTATTGATTAAAAAATAGATTTCTTGGGTAGGTTCTGGTCAGACATTTACAGTCACCCACCAAAAGTTTTATTTAACACATGAATGATTTCTTTAAAGCATTCTTTTAAGTGAAAAGTGTTAATAAACGATACTAGGACTTTAAAGAGTTGAGGTTTTAAATCATTGCTAATGTTGACTATTAAACCAAACGTTCATCTTTTTGAATTTCAGGAAATTTCAATAGGCAAACTCAGAAATTCTGTTAAAGGCCTTAAATATGTCCAGATTTTCCTTATTTGGGTCTAAAATGGTTAATTAGGAACTTTTTCAAATGAGTTTATTTCTATAGCGCCAATTCATAACACATGTTGTCAAAGTACTTTAGAGTTCACCAGATCATCCAGTCAAATTGATTCAAAGTTTTCTATCTAAAGAAAACCAGTTGATTGCATCGACTCATTGACTCTACAGCAATCCCTCAAACTAAGCATGCTTGTAGCGACAGTGGAGAGGAAAAACTCCCTTTTAACAGGAAGAAACCCTGCTGCAGAACCATGCTCAGTGTGAGCGGCCATCTGCTGAGGCCTACTGGGGTTCAAGGAGACAGAAGCAGAGATACAAAAAGCAACTGTAAAAGGCGGCCCCGTCCAGGAAACACACAGCCAGGCAGACGAGCTTAGAGCCAGCTCCCATGTCAGAGGATGAAGAGAGCACATACAGTCATAGAAACAGGACTACACTAATTTTGTGCTTGTTGGTCAAATACCAGATCTGAAAAGCAAATCAATTAACCATTAAACACTATTTTCACAACTAGCAAAAAGAATAAAGGTGGGCTCTACCAAGTTTGCTTCACTCTGCACCTCTGGAGTTGTTAACATCTGCTAGCTGGAATTTGGCAGCGGGTGTAACAGCGAACTAGTGGGCAGAGGATTCACGTGCATTCAAATAAAAGTTCCACTGGTTTGCTGCATCCATAGCATCTTCATCACACTGACAGAAAATCACAAGTTAGGAAGAAGAAAAAAAGTTATTCATCCCTAAAGGGATTAATGTCTCCTGAAATGGTTTTATTTGACTGGATAGGTTTTCTTTTTTTAAGAAAGTTACAAATGTTTAATGTTATGTCAACTTTAATAGATGTTTAAGTAAAATTTGGGAGACTGGTTGGTTTAAAAAAATAGATGTTATTGGAAAATCAATTTGTTAGACATTTGGAGCTTTTTCATCTAAAAATGGCAGCAGGTTATAAGTTCATACAAGTTAGTATTATGGTGCAAGAAGTTTGAGAAAACATAGCTTAAATGTTGAGATCTTCTTTATGAATATGTAGATAGAGATATGTGTATACTGTCTATAGTAATTGGGGTGTGTATGTATATGCATGTATGTGTGTATGTGTTTGAGATACGGGTGTATGTGTAAGTATGCATGTGTGTATATATATGTATAGGTATCTGTGAGTATGTGTATGTATATATATATATGTATATATGTATGGGTGAGTGTGTGTGTATATATGGATATGTATGTATGCTTAAACATAGGTAGATGTTAATATAGAACAGGGGTAGGATTTAATAAGTTTTATTACTTCTTCCTACTCCTTTTCGAACATGATGGGATGTACATATGTTTTTTTTTTCTTTTTCTTCTTTTTTGTTTGTTTTGTTTTGTATGACTTTAATAATTTACTTATATTTGCTTTTTATTAAGTGTTCGAAATAAATGATCAAATAAAAAAAAAATAAAGAATTAAAAAAAAGCTGGGCTTCTCAGAATATGACTCACAGTTACAGGTAAAACTTTACAGAAATGTTTTCTTATGGAATAGCGAATCAGACTGCAGAGCTTCTAGATGTCTTGAAAATTATTTTCTCTGGCATCCCTGTAATAGACAGGTTCATAAATCTATTTTTTCTCTTTTTGAGTTTTTACGGCACTAGTGGCCCATTTGTTCGACAGTAGGCTGACAGGAAAAGGGGTCGAGACATGCAGGAAAGGACCACAGGTCAGATTCGAACCCAGGTCGAGGACCAAGGCCTCTGCACACAGGTTGTGCATGCTAACCACTGTGCCACCTGCACACCTGTGAATCTTTTAAAAAGCAGAGCAGAGACATAAGTAGGGACAGCTGCAGATTTAAAGGTGATTTTTTTTAGTGGATATGCAAAATGCATTAAAATATATCTCCAAGTTTGCCAGAAAGTTTTAAAAAAAATATATGCTATGCTAAAATTAAATTTAACATGTCGTTTTGTCTTTTGTTTTTCAGCAAGAATCAGAAATTGCTGTGCCAGCCAAACCAGAGCCAGTCAGACTCACAAGGCAGACTTAAAATTAAAATATAAGAAACCTACAAGAATTAAAGCACAAATAATAGAGTAAAAATCAGTGTATAAATTATTTTTGAAATGTAATGTTCAATACATAGATTTTGGCTGTCAACAATATGTTGGACAAATTTCTAAATCTGATTTTGCTGCTTGGGAAGCAGGATAATCACTGATGTAGCTGAAAGGAAAACCATCCATCCAGAAAAATATGGATGGATGGAATAGAAATTGTGTCCATATTAGGGATGCACAATGTATTGCTGTTGGAATCGGATATCGGCTGTTATTCATCATTTTTTTATACAATATTTTTAAACCCTTTAAAAATAATGCACTAAAAGGCATCTGTCTAACTCTATAAATATAAATAGCAGTGTATTTTAGTGTATATATACTCTTCTGTCTCAACAATAGGAAAACATTAAATAGATACATGTTTGGAGAATACAAATCCCTAATTAAAGCGTTCAGGTCAAGTAACTGTAGGTCCATCAGCACCAACCGAGTGTCCCCGCCGACTCCCATCACAGAGTTACACCCTTGACCCTGCCTGTCCTATAACCCTATAGGCTGCAAGGATAAGCAGGTGATGGATGGTGTGAAGATCACCTACTATTAACTCAAACTACTATAATTAAAAGAGGATAGCTGACCATACAAACACTTATTAACTTTACTACTGAAGTTATGTGGGTAATTTGTTTAAAGCTAATTTCTAACTTGCAAAAAATTATATATATACATATGTTTATAAAAATAGAACTAAATACTGTCATGGTTTTGGTTATGTTGTGCTTTACTTTGCTCCTTGTTTTCTAGTTTTATTGGTTTAATTCATATTTTGTCGTATTTCTAGATTTATGTTAGTTCTCATGTTGTCCTCTTGTGTGTGTGTGTTCCATTCCCCTTGGCTCCCTCGTTGTCTCCTCACACCTGCTCCTTGTCAGCTCGTTAGCCCTGCCTTTGTCTCTGTCAGCTATTTATGCTCTCCCTCTGCTCTCACTCTTTGTTGGTTCCTCTGTTGTTGCTGGTCCTGCCATCGCTGCAATCGTCTCCCCTCGTCCCTCCTTCTACGTGTTTTCCCTTGATGTCTCCATGGTTCTGGTCTGTTACATTTTAGTTGGATTTTTGGACTGCCTTTGTCAACCTTTTTTCATTAAAACTACAAGTATTCACCTCAGCCTCTCTGCCTCTGCATTTGGGTCCTCCAAACCACAACCAACTCTGACAAATATGGTGTGCATTTATATATATATATATAGGACAAAATATTTTTGTTTTGCACAAACTGTTATTTATTCCACCCAGACTAAAAAAGTGTGAGATGAGCCTGTGTAAATGTATGACTGAAACTATAAGATTTTCTTTATATTTGCAAAGAATGTGACAAGTGTACAATCAGGCTATTTACAATATGACACGTTATCTTCATTTTTTTTATTAAAAATGGGTAAAAATACGATCACACGATAAGCAAAGCCTTTTAATAAGCATATGTACAAACATGAAAACAAAAGCTTTAATTTTATAAATACTCTTTAAACTTCGAAATGCTTGATATGTTAAGAGCCGCTCACTATCACAATACAAAAAGGGGTGAAATAAATTGCTTTTGTTCCTGAAAAGGCATTAAAACAAGTTCACTTTTCACACGAGTCCTCATCCATGCTGGTCATTTGCTTTATAAGAATCAGATAACAGCACCATAGTCTCTGACTTGATCTCAGATCAGCTGTCCTGCTCTGAAGATCAGAATGCACCGACTGTAAGAGAGGGTATCCTCTTTACAGGTAATTATATAAAAGCACCATTTTAACACGTGTTTGAAGTATAGGAGGAAGCCATTAGAGGAAGTGTTAGGCATGGATCAAACCTACATTTGTCTGCAACGTTAATCACATTCAAATCTCTCTCCTGTAACACAGAGGAGGGTTGCATTGTGGATCTTTCTCATAAATCTTTAATTTTTGGTTTTAAACTTATACAAGCCAAACTTTTAAATAAATCTATATTTTAGACAGCAATGTTCTTAAATTCAGAAAAAAATGTGATTTAAAGGTTAATTACTGAAACCGGCAACCCAAACGTTCTATAAACGAGTTAATTTATCCGCATTAGTTTAACAGAATTAGATTAATGCTGTTTGTGTCACCAGCAAATGGTGCAAAACTACAAGTCTAAGATGCACAAGAGTCAAACTTTATGCTTTTAATGATATGGTCTTAATGAGCTTTTTCTGTGTTTATGACAAATGTTTGACGCATTTAAAATAAACATCCAAATTCTATAACGGATTCTATGAAAAGTTTACATAAACTCATCATTAGTGTGAATATGAGTGAGCTTTTGAGGGGAGGTGTTTGAACCATTTCTGTTAAGGTTTGATTGATTTGACAACAGAAAACTAAGGAATTTGAAAAACAAGAAATAGTTGCACAAGATAGATTTTTTTTTTTTATACAACTTGTTCCTCAGAGACGAAATTATAAAGATTTAATATATACATCCTCAATTAAAGAGATTTTTTTAGAGTTGAATCTTTACTTCTTATATACTTTAGTCTCCATCAGTAAGATTCTGTCATAATTCTGATTAGATATTTGATAAATCTGCTAGTAGAGCTAATTT